AAGGCGTTTAGAAGAGGAAGTGATGAGAAGATAAGTTTATTTTCTATTTTAACATAAAAACAGCATTTTAATTACAACTAAAGGTGACATAGATACTCTATTATGGTAAAGTATTTAAATGTATGCCTGAGAAACACATAATATAGGCCCTTTAAGCAATTCAAAAAACTGTAAAGTTTTAATAGAAAATTGTATTCAGTTTAWTTTCTGCTGATTTCTTATGGCTTTCGTAGGTTACGAAAGGCAAACTTACATGTCCTGCACAACAATGTACTGATGTGGGATGAGCCCATCCACACCGTTATGCCGGCCCTCCCACCAGTCCTCAGAGGCTCGCAGGTACAGCAGCAGAGACGCTCCTTTCTTAAAGGACAGCTCCCTCGGACTTCGGCCCACGTAGTCAAATTTGGCGATGGCCTCGATGGGTTCGAACTCTGCAGCACAGAGAACATGATGGGGGAGTTCAGGTGAACAAATCTCATTACTTTCTCCATCGGCTCCCGGGCTCCACAGCTGTGATCTTGACAGTTTATCGATCGCGTTTGGAGTCTGACCTTCATCACTCGTGTTCGGTCCGGTTCCGTTGTCGATGTCATCGAGAGCCCCCGGCTCACTGTGAGGGCTTTCACTGCACAGRCAAGAAAAACGCTAAAGGTTAAAGCTGAATGACAAGCCAAGATTTTGGCGCTCGTAAAAAAATAATAATTTTTTTTGACATTTTAAAGAGGTCAAAGGCACGTATTTTTACTTGATGCTTACATTTTTGTCACATTCTCTGGAAGGAAATGTGGAAGCAACACTTTATAACTTGTGAAATGTTGTAAAAAGGAGAAGAAACRTTTGACCAACTAAAATTTGTAGGAGTACGACCACACGCTGTGACACTGCACGACTGTGCCACTGTTGACACGCACACCCTTGTGCCCCGTTTAATGCGTGAACCCTAATCCTTCATTTGAACTCCTCCACTAAATCTCTTCATTCCCTCTCTTTCAGGTTCAGTTTGTTTTGAGACAACCTTTAAGATGTTTCACTAAAACCAATCAAGGGGCATAAAAATGGAGACGATTATAAGATATTTATTTTGGTAAATGGTAAGTATTTTGCTACTAGCACAGAGAAATGCAATAAAAACACAWGCATCTGAAGGGCAGCTTGTGTTTTCTTCAGGCGCAGAGTTGCTATGCAGCTTAGTGACACCTTTGCCGTTACTGTAGCAACCTGCAGACAAGTTGGAGATCTCTGGTCACACGGAGATGATCTAATAACGTGCGAGGAACAGAGCAGGCTGTCTGTCTTTTAGATCTGATTAGAAATACAAATCTGGTTTGCTGACGGTCTGAACTAAGGTTCAGGCTTTCTAAATTGTTGCCATGAACGTTTTTTCTTTTTTWAAAAAATACATAATAATTAAATACGAAAAAACAAATCCATCCTCCAAAAAACATGAAAAAATAAATAAAAACAAAGAACTAAATCTGAAGTTGTTAGGTTCAGGATTGGACTTTGTTTCTAGCCACAACAACAGGTTTAGGCTAAGCTCAAAGACTTTGTGCGGTTGGCTCCTTAGAGAGGTGAATCCTGAGGATGTCTGTTAGTCACAACCTTGTTGTCTGTGTACTTAACAAATACAGCAAAAACACTGCTCAGTGGTGTCTAACACGTAAAGCACACAGTAGAAGGCACAAAAAGCAATAAGTTCTCTGCGTAAAGCAAACAGTTAGCTCCTCAGGTAATCTCACGGCCTGCACAAAGTGGTCTCCAGAATATATCACCTCCAAATGTTTGCAGTGGCTCTCGAACTCATTGTGTGAGCTGCAGAGTTCTTGTAGCCTTGTGGCTTGAATTTTTAACATGTTCCAAATAATTGTGCGACTAATGTTCTTCTCAAAATAGCATGCTTCTTTATAAGTGGTTTAAGCTCTTAGTTTTAGTACATTTTTAGAGCACTTGAGCTATATTCTGACACCTGCACTGTTCTTGTTGACTTAAGATGGACTAGACATCAATACGTTACGTATTAGTGGTTTAGCTTCAGTTTTCTTTTCATTGAGCTTTTTTATCATTAGCGGAGCTAAGAAATTTGTGTAGCAGTTTAGGTGGTAGTGAAGTTAATATTCTGGTTAGTGGTGTTCATCCCTGTTTATTTGGTTTACCCAAACCATACATTATTTAGTTGGGAGAGCTTTGATAGTCACATTTCAGTTAAAATCAGTGAACAAAAAGGGTGAATTGTTACAATTTTCAGTTGCAATTAAACCGAGAAAACATCAAAAACACTTTTTGATAACTTTCCTTCCACCTACCAGTACTCCTCCCCTCCAGCCATGCACTTCTCATAAAACGGTCCCTCCAGCTCCCGCTGGCTCGGAAAGATGGCCTCGTGGTGGATGATGACTGTCTTAATGACCTCGTTAACGTGCGCTTGGCAGGAAACTGGATCCTGATCGTCTGGTATGGGCATCAGCGTGGGGCCGAAGCAGATAGCCAAGTTGTAAGGGTCCATCATGTTCTCGTCGCTGTACTGAGAAAGGCTTGGAGAGACGTAGGCGCTGAGCACCACACTAACAAGGCTGCACCCTTTAATGTTTCTGCGACACGACTTACTGGTTCAGAAAAGCAAACAGGTATCTCATGACGACGATCACGGGTCGCGGCAGAGTCACGATGATCTGCTGAAGATGGTGAGCTCTTTCTGCGCCGGAGTCGAATTCTGAAAAAAAAAAGGAGAGAAGGAAGAAACGCGGAACGATTATCATCAATATTTGAGCGTATTTCAGATGTTTTCCTGTAATGCGACTCACTGGTGGTGGATATGAAGTCGAGGAAACGCTCTTTGGGGAACAGCGAGTTCTCCAGCCCACGGAAGTAGAGCTTGAGAACGCCTGCCACGGAGTTGATGTCGTGATCCGCCTGATCGTCCACCAGTGGATCTTCTCCTGCAGATGATCCAGACTCTTAGTCTGCTTATTACTCTTTCATAGCATCCACTTTTATTTGACATGCCTTTGATGCAACTCTTCGTGTCTTTCAAATTGGAGCACAATAATGCAGTAATGGGTCCTCATTTATTATTACTCCAGGATGCTGATCTGATGTTTTATGCATTAAGTGGTTTCCACGTCCATTACAGGGCTGTATGCGACACGGACGCTTTTTATTTGCACTTTGGAGTCATGCAAGATGCACTGTGGCTTTTCAGGTGGGCAAATGCAATTTAAAACCAATCAAAAGAAGATGGCGAGTCAACCTGGGACTAACCTCGTTCAAATGCGTTTTTAATATCGTTGACTTCGACCTGAGATCCTGGAACCCGAAATATACCTTGCTGCTGCAGACCTGTGGACACAAAAAACCTTGTTAAGGCGGGATGAAACAAAGAGATTCACACACAGATAAAAATACCACAGCTGCTCGTCTGGTTGGCCTCCCTGCACATTTAGATTTGAAAAAATGAGATTATCTTGAGTTATTCCTAACTCACACACGAGTAAAAGCAAATGACTTCAAGCATAAGCTTTTAAACTTAATAACAACTTTAAAAAGTACATATACCGTTAAGTTTTTCTTTATGTATTAAGCAGATTGGAGCTGTTTGTACAAGCACGTTATTTATGGAAATAATTGTCCTGTTATTCATAAACTGTTGCAAGCAACCCTGGTTTCTTCTTTAGATTATTCTTTTTATGTACAGTGCCCTGAGACAACGTATGTTGTGACTTGGTGCTATATACAGGTGCTGGTCATAAAATTAGAATATCATGAAAAAGTAGATTTATTTCAGTAATTCCATTTAAAAAGTGAAACTTGTATATTGTAGTCATACATTACATACAAACTCATATATTTCAAATGTTTATTTCGTTTAATTTTGATGATTACAAATGACAACAAATGAAAATCTCAAATTC